GTTCAATAGGCCAACGCTCCCAACCAATCATTAAGCGGCAAATATTCAAACCTGGCACAAAAAATTATGGGATCAGTTCATCATGGAGAGTATCACAGATAAGATCAACAGAAATAGCAGAAACCCAGTAAACTCTGGATTTAATGCCAAATGGTTTCCAATATTAGACTCCCTGTCGAACGAAAAGTTCATATCGCCAGTCTGGAAAGACTATATGAAATGGTTCTAAACAAATTCTAAGAACTCTACTGACACATTGCTCTACTTAGATATCCTTTAAAAAACCTACAAAAACTATAGGCTGAGGGTTGTCTTGTTTAAAATAGCACCAAGTTTTATATATTCAAGGAACATTATATCACTCAATTCCAAACTTTTGCACTGTTATAGACATTGTTTACAATGAACAAAAGAACACTCATTGCTCGAACAAGTCATTGCAATGTACCCTTTTGCTCTACAACGGTATGGTAAAAGAAGGATTGTATATTGTTGTTTTAAACTCAAATTGTATTGCAATACTACTAGCAACTCTCTTTTAAGAAGTTTATTTCACCTACTGTTAAAAGTATCCACACGTTTTAAAATGTTCTGTATTGTTACTAAGAACTTACCAATAAAATGTTAATGACAAAAAAAGCAGCAAAAGAGGATGGCCCCAAAGCTCCCACAGGCCAGATGAAGACCACCATTTGCCCACTTCTGGCCTTCCTTCTGCCGGCTCTTTTTCAAGGCATTTGGCTGAAGAAATCTACCCATCTGAGCTTGACCAGCTCCCAACTGGCACAATAAGTGCACGGCCCACACCCAAAATTTCAGGCACTTTCAAAAACTATGCTGGTCTGGGTGAGAGCCAGAGGCACTCGAGCACAGATGATATGAAAAGAATAAAAAGTGCTTTGCATGAGCAGGAAACCACTCAGGAGGCTAAAATGGCAGGTCAAACACTCAGAGCAGCCCAACAATTGCTTCTCTTCTGACTGTGCTGATAAAACCCCTCTTAGAAGCAGGCACCACATAATTCCTGAAGCAGCAACATTTCCCTGTCTTCCTCAGCCCAGGGGAGTCCAGAACCAAACCAGTTCACAGGGCACGAAAAGCCTAGTTTAACCCAGGTTGACTTCTAGCTACTTCAGTGGCAAACACTACACCCATGGCTATTGGCCTGGAGTTAAATGGACCTTCCATGGTCATAGGCAGGAAATCTTTGCCTACCAGATACTGGGGTCTAAGCAACAGAGGGATTTGGTTGCCCACTGTTGGACTACGTTTGGTTTGATCCAGTGATTATGTCTAGATGAAATAAAATGAACGTAACAACATAAGAGAAGCCATGTTGGATCAGGCCAGTGGCCCATCCAGTAAAACACTCTGTGTCATACACTGGCCCAAACCCAGGTGCCATCAGGAGGTCCACCAGCAGGACCAGAACTCCAGAAGCCCTCCCACTGTTGTCCCCCAAGCACCAAGAATACAGAGCATCACTGTCCCAGACAGAGTATTCCATCTAGGGGTGTGCACACACATATACTCAGTATTGTTCAGGTTTGGGTATACTGAACCTCCCAAAATCAGTATTTCCCAATATTCCCAAATCCCAATATTGGTATGGTATTGAGATTCAGGAAATATTTGGAATTGCCGATTTTTTCCAGCTCCATTATACCCTATGGGAACCATTATAGTTAATGGTCCCCATAGGCTATAATGGAGAATCAATCTGGGGGTAACTAGGGTGCTTGGGGGGCTATTTTTTGAGGGAAAGGCACCAAATTTGCAGCATAGCTGCTGGCACCTTTCCTCAACCCGGCAAGTTTCAAAAAGATTGGACCAGGGGGTCCAATTCTATGGGCCAAGAAGAAGGTGCCCCCGTCAAAGGCTTTTAAAGGAATGTTGTCCCTTTAAATGCCTTCTCCATGCTGCGCTGCAGCGAGTGAACTCTGAAGTGAACTGTAACTGCGACTATCCAGCAGCCCGAAGAATCCCAACCATTTTTGGACAGCTGAGTAAATGGCCCACTCACTAACCGGCTGAAAAATATCCGGAAAGTACCAATACAGTATTTTTCCAGCTCATTTAGCCAAACGTCTCTCCCTTCCATCTATACCTTCTGGCTAACAGCCAACGATGCGCCTCTGCTCCATATGTTTATTGGATCCCCTCTTGAAGCTGCCTATGCTTGTAGCTGCCACCACTTCCTGCGGTAGTGAATTCCACGTGTTACATTACTCTTTGGGTGAAGAAGTACTTCCTTTTATCTTTTCTAAGCTCACTGCTCATTGATTTCATTGAGTGCCCAGGAGTTCTTGTATTGTGAGAGGGAAATGCTGATAGCATATGCTGTCTATTGTGTATTCTGATGCAAAACTGATGGGGCAGACACATCCATGGCCTCTATTGCCTGCTCCTTGAAGCACAACCCGCCCGCCCCCGGCAGGGCTCTTTTTGTAGCAGGAACTCCTTTGCATATTAGGCCACACACCCCTAATGTAGCCAATCCTCCAAGAGCTTACAGAGCTCTTCTTACAGGGGCTACTGTAAGCTCTTGGAGGCTTGGCTACATTAGGGGTGTGTCACTTAATATGCAAATGAGTACCTGCTACAAAAAGAGCTTTGAGTCAGTGACAGGATGGTCTAGGCTAGCCCAATCTAACCTGGTTGCCCCTGGTTAGAATTTGGATGGGAGACCACCAGGGAATACCAGGGTCACTGTGCGGTGGCAGCCAACAGCAAATTGCCTCTGCTTGTTTCTTGCCCTGAAAACCCTACAGAGTCACCGTAAGTCCACTGTGACTTGTCGGTACTTTCCTTCACCAATGCGGTTAATGAGAATCCCTGGGCACATCAAGAATGAAACTGTGGAGTGTTCCTACGATGGTCCTGAACTAGATCCAGGATTATTTAGTCCAAAATCATCCCACTAACAACCAGTGTTCCCTCTAAACTGAGTTAGTGTGAGCTAGCTCACAGTTTTTTAGCCTGTGCCAGCGCACACATTTTTGTCTTAGCTCCAGAGCAAACTAATTGATGCAGAAACCAAATAACTCGCTCACAACTTTAAGGCCAGTAGCTCACAAAGAAGAATTTTTGCTCACAAGACTCCATAGCTTAGAGGGAACATTGCTAACAACCTACAGGGCTATTCATTATGGAGGGGGATTTCCATCCAGGAAACTATGCAAGGCAGAGTTAAGAACTCTCCATCACTGTTATAATCCATATGTCCCCCTGCAGCGTGTGAAGAAAACTAAAGTAGTCAGGAGCAATGCTCCCTCTAAGCTGTGGGGTCTTGTGAGCAAAAGTTCTACTTTGTGAGCTACTGGCATTAAAGTTGTGAGCGAGTGATTTGGCTGCTGCATCGATTTGTTTGCTCTGGAGCCATCCTTCCTGAGCTAAGACAAAAAGGTGGGAGCCGGCGGCTAAAAAACTCTGAGCTAGTTCACACTAACTCAGCTTAGAGGGAACACTGGTCAGGAGATACAATTGCAATTCTGAGCCTCAGTCTGTAATGTAGCTTTGCCCTCTCCTCTCTCCATTTCCAAAGAAGAAAGTCTAGTTAGTGGATTTGGTGTTTCTCGCATCCGTTTATTTACCAGATTTTCCTTTACTTCTATTTACTAAACATAATTAAGATGCTCTCTTCCTTGGTTTGAATAAAGTTTCCATAGAAAAAGAATATTTGTTTTGGAATATGTATGCACTTCTCTAATGGCACTTGATTTTCATCCAAGAAGAGGAGATTCCTGGTATGAACCCATTGGTATGAGTCAATGGCTTTATTTGGTTTCTTAATAAAATAGGTAGAACCGCACCCAGCGGGCATCAGATGAAAGGCTCTTCAGGGGGAAAATGATCAGAATTCCGGTACTTGTATTTTGCAATGTGTTTGGGAACTGTTCGTGGCCATTTTCAAAGTAAACATTAAAAATCTCTGTAGAACGAGACAAAGGTAAAGGAAGGGACTGATACAAAAAGGTGGAGCAGGCAGAGCCAGGAGAGATTTCATGGGCAAGCCACTAAAAATATCGGCAGTGTTTTCCAAATACTTCAACATGAACCAATCTTTGGGAAGTTTCTGATGTCCAAAGGACAGAAGACAGAATTTTCTGGTTATAAAAATATTTTATTAATAATTGCTGAGAAGATTTTGCATAGAAATAATTACTATTTTATTATTATTATTTATAAATACTTAACTAGGAAAACAGAACTTTTATTTCATTCATTTTATTTTAAAATATTTCCTGAGGCTTTTCTTTCCCTCTTTGGGGAGAGAGTTGGCTGATCTATTTTGTTAAGAAGCTCTCGTTTCAGAGATCGATATGCAAACCCAGCAGGTGGAAGTTCTTCTCCAGAGGATAGCTGTTTTCATCCAGAACAAACTGACTCCTCATTTCCAAAAGATAGGATGCTTTAGAGTCTGTGACCAGGGAATGGCACAGGTCTGCCACGATCATGCCATAGGTGGTATCCAAGAAAGGCTCTGCAAGAGATAAAGAATGACACGGCCAACATTAGGACACCTTTCTGCTGTATGCCGAAGAGAAGTTCTTTCTCTTTGGACACACCTCCTCGGAGAAATGCAGGAAGAATATACACAGGGAAGCTATCCTCTCCCCAATCCCTTTCCTTTAGATGACTACGGGGGGGGAACCTCGGTACAGTCCTACACAGGCTGGTCCTTTCACATCTACTATTTTAGAACAGGACAAACACTTGAAACAGGCAGCACGGACTTTGTTGAGCGGCAGAAACAAAGCTTGCCTCTGACATTAGGTTCCTGCCCTCCACCAAGGCCGGCCTCATAAAAGGGGGACACAGCGTGAGAATCCATGTTTTCCTGACGGTCCACAACTGTAATAAATTGACAAAACTGATTTGACTGTGAGGATCTACAGAACTTGAAGAGACAGGGCTATTTTTGGGCAATATAAATACTTAATTAGGAAAACAGAACTTTTATTTCATTCATTTTATTTTAAAATATTTCCTGAGGCTTTTCTTTCCCTCTTTGGGCAGTGAGATGGCTGATCTATTTTGTTAAGAAGCTCTTGTTTCAGAGATCGATATGCAAACCCAGCAGGTGGAAGTTCTTCTCCAGAGGATAGCTGTTTTCATCCAGAACAAACTGACTCCTCATTTCCAAAAGATAGGATGCTTTAGAGTCTGTGACCAGGGAATGGCACAGGTCTGCCACGATCATGCCATAGGTGGTATCCAAGAAAGGCTCTGCAAGAGATAAAGAATGACACGGCCAACATTAGGACACCTTTCTGCTGTATGCCGAAGAGAAGTTCTTTCTCTTTGGACACACCTCCTCGGAGAAATGCAGGAAGAATATACACAGGGAAGCTATCCTCTCCCCAATCCCTTTCCTTTAGATGACTACGGGGGGGGAACCTCGGTACAGTCCTACACAGGCTGGTCCTTTCACATCTACTATTTTAGAACAGGACAAACACTTGAAACAGGCAGCATGGACTTTGTTGAGCGGCAGAAACAAAGCTTGCCTCTGACATTAGGTTCCTGCCCTCCACCAAGGCCGGCCTCATAAAAGGGGGACACACAGTGTGAGAATCCATGTTTTCCTGATGGTCCACGACTGTAATAAATTGACAAAACTAATTTGACTGTGAGGATCTACAGGACTTGAAGAGACAGGGCTATTTTTGGGCAGGAACGCACAGGAACGGAGTTCCGGCCGGCTCCCAAATTGGCCACACCCAGCAGGAACTCATTAGCATAATAGGCCACACCCAGCAGTAGAAACTCATTAGGACTGGCTACATTAGAGGTGTGTGGCCTAACATGCAAATGAGTTCCTGCTCCATTAAAAGCCCTGGGTTTTGACAACAAACAAGGTAAACAGAATAAGAAGCAAAAGGTGGGTGTGGCTGGATGACCAGACTTCTGGTAACATGGGAATGCGACCTAATAGGCTAATGAGTGGTGCAATCGGGGGTGTGGCCTAATATGCTAATGAGTTTCTGCTGCTGGGTGTGGCCTATTATGCTAATGAGTTCCTGCTGGACTTTTTCTACCAAAAAAGCCCTGTGAAGAGACCTTCCTATAATGAAAAAATAGCTAAACAAGGCCATTCGAATACATGAAGATGTGGCGTTACTAAATGCACTTAGCTAAGTAACTGTTTTTTATCTGTGCCTTCATGGTGGAATCTTGAAACGTTTATAGATGTCATGCTGGAGCAGAAGAAAAGCTGAAGCGTCCTGCTACTGGATTGAGACTTGCCTAACCGTGACACTTCTGCAACACAGAAGTGTCTCCCCTGTATCATCTGGATTGCAGCTCTTCCACTGTGCGTTTTGAACTATTTGAAGCAATTTTGCTTCTAATGCATTCACAGGAACGGCTGAAACAGCATGGCAAGGAAGGTACATACAACCATCCAGGGCTCTTTTTGTAGAAAAAGCCCAGCAGGAACTCATTAGCATAACAGGCCATACCCAACAGCAGGAACTCATTAGCATAGTAGGCCACACCCATGACAGCACAGCTCATTAGCATATTAGACTACACCCCCGTGTTACCGAAAGTGTGGTCATCCAGCCACACCCACCTTTTGCTTCTTATTCTGTTTACCTTGTTTGTTGTCAAAACCCTGGGCTTTTATTGGAGCAGGAACTCCTTTGCACGTTAGGCCACACACCCCTAACGTAGCCAATCCTAATGAGTTTCTGCTGTTGGGTGTGGCCTATTATGCTAATGAGTTCCTGCTGGGTGTGGCCAACTTGGGAGCCAGGCCGGAACTCCGTTCCTGTGCGTTCCTGCCCAAAAATAGCCCTGCAACCATCTCTGTATTGAGGATGGGTGTGGATGAGACTGGCACCAGGGACTTAGCGACTATGATACATTCCACAAGTTCTCTTAAGCAGATAACCTGCGCTAACCTGTGTGCTAACCTCTGAAAGAGAGTGTATGTTTGTGTTCTAAAGTCTGGTTGGCATGGTCAGGAACCTACCATAGCGCACAGTCTGGGAAAGGGGCCTGACCCATCTATAGGCAACATCTCAGGATCTATGGGGTGATCTCCCATTTCCTGTGCGAGTGTGTGTGTGTGTGTGTGTGTGTGTGCTGAAGATAGAGGATATGGCCCTTTTGCAGAGTTGCTGGCCCTGACAGAGCTTAAGGTAAAGGTTCCCTTGCTCGAAAGTCCTGCCCAAAAATAGCCCTGCAAACATCTCTGTATTGAGGATGGGTGTGGATGAGACTGGCACCAGGGACTTAGCGACTATGATACATTCCACAAGTTCTCTTAAGCAGATAACCTGCGCTAACCTGTGAAAGAGAGTGTATGTTTGTGTTCTAAAGTCTGGTTGGCATGGTCAGGAACCTACCAAAGCGCACAGTCTGGGAAAGGGGCCTGACCCATCTATAGGTAACATCTCAGGATCTATGGGGTGATCTCCCATTTCCTGTGCGAGTGTGTGTGGGGGTGTGCTGAAGGTAGTGGATATGGCCCTTTTGCAGAGTTGCTGGCCCTGACAGAGCTTAAAGGGATATATAACATCCACCCTGGAAGAAGAGAAGGGGGGGGGAAGTGTTTCCAAGGCCCTCCCCCAAACCCAGCCTTGCCTGTGACTGAGGATACGCCCCCCATGGGGATAACCCACTGTAAGTGACCTCTCTTGTTGACTGATGAGGATTTTAAACAAAAAGCTGAGATGCAGGAGAGCCTCCAGTTCGCACAGTCGCAAGCTGACTGGTCTGGAGCCCGCGGCCTCAAAGACATTCCCAGAGCCTCACCTATGGTCTTGTTCAGCCAGTCTGCTGGAATACCGAGGAACATTTTCTCCATCAGCTCTGGCACCACCCGCACAGGGATGTCGTATCCCCCATCTTCTACAGTCATCAACGCGGGTCTGAGTAAGGAAACAAGAGGAGAGCCTTATGGGAGCGTGTACGTATTTTTTTTTTCACTTTTTATTGTTGAGTATATCCGTTTAACACAATCATAGTTCACTATTCATCTTATTGATATGCTCATTTTCCATTTTTAAACAATCTTGAACCAAACATACAAAGATACAAAAAAAAAAAAAAAATCATCTGAGGTTACTAATACAACAGCCAAATTTATTTT